CTACACAGGTGTCAGTTGCCAGGAGAGTCTTACACATTCCATAAGGATTTACTGCATTGGAGCAGATAAGCATCCTCAGCCTTCTGATCACGTAAAAGCAATAGAAAGGTGCAACAAATGGAGTTCTGGACGTTGTTCTTTCATTGTGTCTTCACACAGAGAGAACATTTCCTTAATCCTTTTAGTGAACTTTTCTGAATAGGTGAAGGACTAAGTAATTTTTCAGCTATTTTATAACATAATTAAGAAGTTGGAAGTTTGATTAAAAACATTTTCAGAGGTGTATTTTAAAAGAATGTTTAAAAATGTAAGTTGTCTCTTAAACAAAGGCCATTGTTTGTTCACTGGAACAAGCGTCTCCAGATAATCAGTTAAGCAACCTAAAACAATTGATGATTGTAAATATGAAAAGATTGTCGTAATGTAAAAGCTATAGTAAAGTGTAAAGTATAGATTTGTTGAATTCTTTTGTTTTTGTCTTCAACGCCATCATATGCAGATGTTAACGTTTATGTTACTTTTTTGTAGCAGCTGCCTGCCAGTAAAGATGCCAGGAGGTACATGATATGACCCACAAGTACTTAATGATGCACAGAAGAGCATATGGGAAAAAGAAAACAAGACATTTATCTGTTAACACATCCAGAAGTCAGAAGATGGGTGATGGGACAGCATTTCGAGACCAGACACTAAAGGTTAAATTAAAGTTTTAGAAGTGATTCTTTGTGTTTGGCTTCAACACAATATGCAGCATACAGCCTGATATTCATTCCAGTCCAGGGTTCCCAGGAGTACACACGGCACAGCCAAAATGTGGCTAGCTGAAGTACAGCAGACCATAGGGGAAGATCTCTTGCCCACATTAATGTTTCTGCTCTGAAAAGCACTGGATAAAAGTAAATCACAGACTGCTGTTCAGCTGCTGATTTTGTGCAAAACATTGCAAATGAAAGATTGAAATATCAGCATTCTATTAATTTCAGACATGAGTATGTACTGTATGAGCTAGATTTGCAAAGCATGTTTTAATAACTGAAAAATTGTAATATCGCATAGTGTGCTTTGGTTTCCTCCAGGGGCTCTGGTTTCTACCCATCAGTCCGAAGATATATTGGACGGTGGTTAAATGGATTCTGGTCAAATAGGCCCTAGGTGTAAGTCCATCTGTCTCTATTTGCATCTGGCATCCTTTATGTTTTAGTTTAGTAACAGTAACAGCTAAACTAAACGTAACCGCATGTCAGCAGAAGGAAAGTGAGGATGTTTCAGATTTTACAGAAAGGTTTATAACTTTACAGATTGTATACTTGGGGTTAGCCGATGAAAAGGAAGATACTTCCATAGTAATGAAACAAATTTACTTGAGTGAGTTAAAACCTGATGTTGCCAAGAATGTACAACTATGCTTTCCTGATATTACGGAAAGTGGAGACAGATTGCGAACTTGCGAAGTATGTATGCAAAAGTGCGAGAGCTGCAAATGGGAGGTAAAAAGACTCCCAAGCAGGAGAAAAAGGAGCCGCCAGTTTGTTGCAATTATAGTGTGACCCCAAAATTATAACCAGATATAAGACCCCTTCAGGGAAATATATATTAAATATATTAAATAAATATTCTGATTGAGCATATCCAGATGGGGGTGTGTTAACTAGCCCTGGGGGAAAGGGAGACAAAACACCAAGATAAAACTACTGTGAAAAAAAACATTGTTGGAGAGATTTTTGTAAGAAAGAGGCCTGATTTCACAGTTAAAGAGCATTTTCAGAAACTGAAACGAGAGCCTTGTGTGAAATAATACACTAGGAAACCCCTTTGTAGCCTCTCTAAATTTATCTCAGGATTTTAATAAAAGAGTAATAATCTTACAGTGTATAGTAAATGGTGTCCAGGTTCCTGTAACGAAACCCAGATGATGAGGTATGAGGAACCTATGCAAACGCAAGAGTGGGTAGGTATCGAAACAGGCGTATAATCCGAAACATCAGGCGAGCTCGTGGTCGACAGGTAAAAGGTTATTCGAAAGCCAGAAGATACAGAGACAGGCATATAATCCAAAACAGCAGGCGACATTCAATGTTGAAGGGTGAAAGGGAAGTTCGGAAGCCGGGACAAGTATCGCAAGCTGGCTGGCGGTCGTGACAGTTCCCCTATTGGGAGCACAGTTGTCTTGTTTATTGACTATAACAGCAAAAAGATGTGATATAAAGTTTTCTAAGAGGTGAAAGGAGGCTACAGGAGTGGGGGGTTGTGTTTAAAGGATGCTATGCTTTAATATGCTTTTTAATATGCTTGGGAAAAGATGTAGAGTTTACGTGGTTGGGGAACACACCAGGCCTATTGGGCTGGGATGCCCTGCAGCATTTATAAGGAATTACTGCATGAAACAGCATTTTTGTGAACAACCTCAATAGAGCTCTGAGATATTGTGATTGATGAGGGAATCCATAAGGCCGGGTTTTTCCAAGTATTCGATTTTCTGACGGAAAAAATGTATATAACCAACTACATAGGAAAGCCAGAGTGAATTCCTTCTCGGAACGAGCTCGCCAGGTGACGAATTGGCTTAAGGAGGGTAGTGCAGTCTAAAGTGCCGAGTGTGTGTGGGTAAAGAAGACATCCTGCCAGATGTTGCAACCCCACTGAGGAGGGACCATATCAAGTGTTACTGACTACCAACTCTGCCATCCGGGTGACAGGATGAAATTGCTGAATCTACACGTTGCACTGCCACCAAACCACTGCACCAGAGACTGGGTGAAAAGAAATAATTATGTTCTTACTGTTTCTGTATCTGTTGGGCTTCCTTGGGGCGGGGTGACAGTGTGCCTGTTAGGCGTATTACATTACTGTAATAATGGGAAATATGGAATCAATACCTTCTTGGTGTTGTCATATTTATCAGCCACAAGTAATAATCAGAGCTCATGTTGGGTTTGTATTGCTATACAAGATGCTCACAGGAGTAATCCCCTTTGATAGAGGTGATCATTTAGGTTTATTGGCATGGGTAAATAGTTCTGCTTTTCATCTGAGTGTACCTCAAATGTATTGGAATGGAACTAACCTTATGATCCCTGCTATAATCACAGTTTTAGGCCTTCCTCTATTAAGGTTAGAACGAATAGTACTTACATACCAGACAATTTTGAACACATCATGGACTTAGCACAGCGCATCCATGATGACAGACAAAAATATCACGACTATAATCCTGATGAATAGGGAGATGGAAAGTGGCTACAGTCTGTGTTTGGAGCCTGGGGAGGATCACTGGTTAATTTATTAACAAGCATTGCCGCTACACTAGCTTTTGCAAGCAGCTGTCCCATGTGCACATGAATAAATAGCTCTTCTCTTACCAACATCATAATTCTGTCCATTTTAATTTTTTTACATAAGGGGACACTTATTTTATGGAGTGCAGGGCTGATGTTGAGCTGAACGGTGGGGTTAATGGGCATTAAATGAAAGCTCTGAGTCTCTTCTTTCATGTGCATTTGGTTTTAAGCTTGTAGTATGCAGAGTTTTGGAAGTATTAATAAAACAGGCCATCAATTTATCAATATTCAAAAATATTGGATATAA